ACAACAACAACAACAACAACAACAACAACAACAACAACAACAACAACAACAACAACAACAACAACAACAACAACAACAACAACAACAACAATGACAACGACAACAACAACCACAAGAACAACAACAACCACAACAACGACAACAAGAACAATGACAACAACAAGAACAATGACAACAACAAGAACAATGACAACAACAAGAACAATGACAACGACAACAACAACAACAATGAGAACAATGACAACAACAACAACAATGAGAACAATGACAACAACAACAACAATGAGAACAATGACAACGAGAACAACAACAACAATGACAACGACAACCACAAGAACAACAACAACCAAAACAACCACAACAAGAATGACAATGAGAACAACAACAACGACAACAACAACAACAACAACAACAGAAATGACTTTACCAAGGTGATCTTGCATTCTAACCTGAACTGGAGTAGCATTCGAGTATCCTCCCATAGTAATGGGGACTGAGAATTCTTGCATGAACACAGGTAATGTGCCCAGCTTTCCAGGATACACGAAATCAAATAATGACCACAATTCACGGAGATTGTTCTGCATTGGTGAGCCTGACAGGACGAGCCGATGTGGAGTGCGGAACTGTGAGAAATGACAGAATTTTTCAGAACATGTTTTTATCTATCGAAATAATTGAATGGTTTTTAACAATTTTCAGAAAAATTTCCTGTGGACCCCCCTTTGCCGACCATAGGGTTGCGTGTGGGTCCCCCTTTGCATTTGAACAAAAATTCTAAATTTTTCAAAACATGTTTTTTTCAGTCAAAAGTACATGTAGCAGGCTCTCCCCTTGACGAGTAAAATTGCCTGGCATTAGACAGAGTAAAATAATAAAGTAGGGTAATGCGACTCAATGGGTTAACTAGACACATGGGCAGATGCAGATAGGCCAGTTAAGGCCATTAAGCACCAGTGCTCTCTCCTTTACAAGTAAAATCGTCTGACACGTCTGGCGTTAGACAGAGTAAAATAATAAAGTAGGGCGCAATGCGACTCAATGGGTTAAAGGGCAACATGCTAAACAAATGTAGAGGTTCAACGTTCATGGGATTATTCTAGAGAGAATTTACTGTTACCTGTTTGCAGGTCAATGTGACCTCGGCATCTGGGTTACGTATGATGTGACCTTCGTCTAAAATGATGTAATCCCAACGAGATTGTAACAAATGATCTTGGTTCAATCTCACCCCAGAATATGTGGTCAGTAAGATCCCTGGTTCATTACGAATTTTGGTTATCAGAGTGTCCTAAGGAAACGATAAAAAACCTAGTTATAGACCATTTCCATAAATGGATAATGTGATGGTGACCCAGGGTTGGAATTGACAACCTACAAATTGTCATGCAAAAAAACCCAGTTTTGTAGGGCAAAAAATTAGTCTCGTCTGGAAGTTACAAATGGCCTTCACTCAAAAATCGAAGTTCTGCTTAATTAAATTTTTCAGATAGTTGTACCTATCAAGTAACATCAAGAACATTATATTCACCTGAGTACATAACACCAAAACACACACAAATATCATATCATAGAATACATTGATATCGAAGGTATACTAGACTTAGTACCGAAATACCACACACTCGAACAGACTTGGCCTCGTAGCTCAGTTGGCAGAGCATTGGACTAGTATCCCAAAGGTCGCGGGTTCGATTCCCACCGTGGTCAGGCTAACTTTTCAGCCTGCCTGGTGTGGATATACACTCAGAGTAACATCAAGAACATTATATTCACCTGAGTAGATAACACCAAAACACACACAAATACTCTTTCAATTATCAGCTATCTTATTATTAAATACATACCTTTGATCCTTTGTAGGAGCCAGTGTCATGCAATACTGCAACACGAAATTCCGGCCACCATTTGTGCAACTCTGCAACCCACTGAAACAGAACTGTTGCAGGACATATTATAAGAACTGGTCCTAAACAATTCTGCCTGAAATAAATACAACATGAATGAAAAACTACGTGCCAATTGGAGGATTACAATCAGAAACTCATTTTGCCTTGTTTTGAATATTACTATCCAAATGTGCAATACTAGATTTTCAGGGTGGATATCAAGTCTGGAACACTGTATTGCAGGTAGAATACAAAACTTACTTGGAAGCACGACGACCAATCTTGCTATACTTTAATCCAACTAAGAAAGCAATAATCTGAATTGTCTTTCCCAATCCCATTTCATCCCCAACTATCCCGCCTGCTTGTTGAGTGTGTAGTTCCCATAACCATTTAACACCTGTCTTCTGGTACCTAGAATTACATGAATTATTTGTGTAGTTTTCTTAGAATTTGAAATGTAAAGCTACATATTCATTTCACCAAACTAGGGGTGCTGGTGGTACAGTGCATTTAACATCTGTATACGATGATAAAGTGATATGATTTGCTGGTTTCAATTTGGCCTTTAGTTAGTGGCATGTGAGAATAATGCATCAAGACACAATAGAAAAACTATCCACAATAAAATAAGTGCAGTTTAGTTTTTGTTTAAACCTGAAAAGTTTGTTCCAAATGACAGCAGGAATCTTCAATCCTCCGTTAAACTCTTCATCCAAACCTTCCTCATTCCAGAACTCATCTTCTTCATCAACCTGACCTTCGTACTCGATACCTTTTTCTCGTAACGATTTCTTTAATTTAAACTCTCTAGAGAATGCACAGTAATGCGGGACAAAGTGTTAGTCCATTAACAGGCAAGAAAGGAGAACTAATGCCCCTCTAGATCTTGTAGTAACACTGGACCTAGGTAGAAAAGTTTAGAACTGATAGTCCAGCGATAGAGCATATAAACTAGGAGTTACTATCGCAAGGAAAATGCTGCCGATATGTACATGTAGGATGTGCTACAAAAAGAGCGTTTTTCACTGTATGTATGATTTATTGTCTTACACATCGTCGTTCCTCAGTCACCTTCGTACAATTATATCTTACATCTAATCTTATGAAAAGTATATTTTAATATACTAATAACAGTGCGACTTTGATAGTTGACACATAATACAAATGATAAAATGTGAATATTATTGAATGATTTTGTCACTCGTACAACTTTTAATTTGGCTATTCAAACAATTGATTTAAAATAGTTGAATTTATACTTACTGGGATGTTATTGCTTATTGGGATGTTGAAATTATGTTTGTTTTAAATACATTTAATTGATATTCCATAAATTCATTTTGTATGATTTCATTGACCTTGACGTTGTTCAAAATCATTTTGTATTGTATTGAAACTGTATGTCTATGACCTATGTTATGTACTATATTAACCCATTGAGTCGCATTGCACCCTGATGCACCCTACTTTGAACAGTATTTTACTCTGTCTAACGCCAGACGATTTTACTCGTCAAGGGGAGAGTGCCGGCGCTTAATGGGTTAACTGATCTATCTGCCCATGTGTCTAGTTAACCCATTGGGTCGCATTGCACCCTGATGCACCCTACTTTGAACAGTATTTTTCTCTGTCTAACGCCAGACGATTTTACTTGTCAAGGGGAGAGTGCTGGCGCTTAATGGGTTAACTGATCTATCTGCCCATGTGTCTAGTTAACCCATTGGGTCGCATTGCACCCTGATGCACCCTACTTTTAGTATTTTACTCTGTCTAACGCCAGAGTATTTTACTCTGTCTAACGCCAGACAATTTTACTCGTCAAGGGGAGAGCACTGGCGCTTAATGGGTTAACACGCCCAAAATCTGTACTAAAACTGCTAATTCTGTTTTGTGATTGGCACAGTTTAATCAAAGAATCCTCCCGTTGAACCAGAGCCTTCACGATATTTCAATTTATTATTAACTGAAGGCTCTGGAAGCCAGGATAGCTTGCCATTGAATACAGTGCAATGCTTATATTTCTGAATGAATAAGATCATACTCAGAACAGTCAGAACTGCAAAACTATATTGTTAGAAAGAAGTTGAAGTTGCGAGCATTATTGTGGTAACACAGCCATATGTATATATCAATGTATGTCAGTAGAATCATGTTTATAGGCTTTATATATAACTGAGGCCTTATACAAGTCATATCTTATACAAAGTCAGTTGATATGCTATATTACATGTAATTGCTGATAAGTCCATATATGCAGACAACAATCCACACTGGGTAGCTCTAGGAATCTTGTTAAGCCTGATTTAACAACATCCCGCGTTTGGTTTTAAACTATAAACATTTAGAAATAGAACGTACCGAACACTATTATATACTCACCGCCTTTGGCTTTGCACATATGAAGTGACATAACAAACAAATAAACTAAAAGTTCATTTGCTTCTTGTATCAGCATAAAGGCATTAATCATTACTGTCGATTTGGTCGGGAATAGATCAGTGATTCAGTGGGTATTATAATTGCCGATATATTCTTGAAATCATTTTGTTTCAATGCCTCTATATCGAAGTTTAATACACTAAGGTGACTAAACAAGTATAAACAGCAGATTTAAATATAAATGCCTTCATGTATTATAAAATATATCACCAGACAGGTAGACAGGGCACACGGCACGACTACATCACTATACGAGAACGAAATAAAGCCATCCTTACCTGAATTATTCAAATATTGTCGATCATTCTTGCGCCAGAGACACAAAATAACACCGTGCTTTATTTACCCATTCATCTTCACAAATATTACTCGGAATTTTTATGGAAATTCGCAGTATTTTATGATTTTTATATTTCTGTCCGTTTATAACAGTCGCCATGTTGTGAACAAACCCCCCCGGGAACAAAAAAATAATATCAAAACAGCTAGTTTTGGCCCGTCCGTGGATGACAGAATGACATAAATCGAGATTGTAGCGGCTATAAACACAGGGGGTCCAACTAACAGCTGTGTTATGAATAAAACATATTAATTAAACGTAATATGAATAAAACATCATAACGTAATATTGCACTTACTTGTATAAATCATAAGAGCTTGCATTTTAATACAGTGAATAGCTTCAAAAACTTGCTTCGTTCCAAAGACTTCAAATATGGCGAATAAATTGACAAAACGATAATATTACATGACGTTCCAACGAAAATAACAGAAAGGATTGCGGGCGCGAGCGGAAAGGCGAGGAAAGAAATAAATAGAAGGGATGAAACAAATATCACGTGACTTTTTAAAATGCTTCTAGACTATCCGTTTAAGCTTTTTGTGTTTTTTTTTAAGGCTCAGTCGATGTTCTCTTACATGAACAAGCCTAGTCATTACCAAAAAAGCACTGATCAATCTAATTTATGTGATTTATAACAGCGAGCATTCTTGGCCATTATCGCGAGATGTGTTCCATAAGTAGCCTGTTCTCGTGACGTATGACGAAATAATAATAAAACTAAATAATATAAAAAAAAACGTTGGTCGCTACATTTAAACATTTCATATTAGCCGGTATAGCTAAACATTGTTTATTTTCATTAATTAAGCGCGTAGGCGTTGTTGGAGTTGGCAGGAGGCGTTTTGGAATTTTCCGAGAGAACAGGCTACTTATGGAACACATCACACGATCGCATTACCGGTGTTTCATCCCTTCTATTAATATCTATTACCCCGCCTTCCGCTCGCGCCCGCAATCCTTTCTGTTATTTTCTTTGGAACGTCATGTAATATTTTCGTTTTGTCAATTTATTCGCCATATTTGAAGTCTTTGGAACGAAGCAAGTTTTTGAAGCTATTCACTGTATTAAAATGCAAGCTCTTATGATTTATACAAGTAAGTGCAATATTACGTTATGATGTTTTATTCATATTACGTTTAATTAATATGTTTTATTCATAACACAGCTGTTAGTTGGACCCCCTGTGGCTGTGGTGGCGAACAAACGTTTCGTGAAAATATTCACCCCCCCTGTTATGTAACCCACGAGGTGTTTTCGCGAACTTGCGCGTGACTTTTAAATTATTTCTTTTGAATTCTAACAGGACAATTGTACTGGGAGGATTTTCCTCCCAAGTACAAATAATATTTCCAATTTTTGGATTGGGACTATTCTACAATGAAGTACTATTGGATAATGTAATCTAAATACATATGAAAACGAAGAAGTGGCATTTATCGGGCAGAGAAGCGGCGAGCCATTAAAATGGCGGCAATTTGACGAGATATCGAAGGACACATTATCGAAGATAAAATACACTGCACTGTTTCAAAAGTGGATGAAACCTTCTTTGAAATCTTCTTCAGCCATTTAGGATTATGTAAAAGTACAACAACTGGATGATATTTGCGTGATTCGGCGATAAAAAGCAAACAAGACAGCAAAATATGGCTGAAATCGCGTTTTCGTGGGGGGTAAGTGAAATAAAATTTATTATATTTAAAGAAAACAATGACAATCCTTATGAAATCAACAATATTTACATTAAATTAAGCATAGTTTTTAAACCCATGATAATTTTTTTTAGGAAATAAGAATATTTAATTTCTGCCAGGCATATTAGTTATTTTATGCATAATCAGCAATTTACGTGGGGTGGTGCATGGTCATTTTCTTGTAAAATATTATACTTAGACAAATTTTTCCTTCAATGACCACTCCTAAAAGCAACCCTTCTAAACACTATAAGCACTTCAGAAAGACTATCGCTTTTTGTTTTCTGAAGTTAGAGCTATGTCGACACTGCCGTTTCAGGGCGGGGTCATTTTCAGGACTTTCGTCCCGGATTCAGCTTTTGGCACATATGCCATGTTGACCGCCATGGTCATTTTACCCTAAAACAGTTGAGATTACCTGTGCTAAATGAAATGCATACAAACTCATATACAGGTCCTAGACTAATTCTCAGTCCCACGATCAAGTCTTAGACTTGCGGGTACAACTAAAATTGAAATAAAATATGTGTTTAATTTCCTGAGCCTTTATCGTCCATTTAAATTGGTGTTTGTATTTCTGTTAGCTCTGTGACGTAGATAAATATTGAACAGTTTGCAACATTATACCAAGACAGCGATGTGAGTAAAGATGCTTTTGCTTCTCATATAGTAATGACAGATATACAATTGTTCATTCTTTCGTGCACCGCTCTTTTTGAAAGCTTACCTTTCACCATACTTATTGCTTTAAAATAATATCGTGCAACAATCCACGGGTCTCTGTTTGTCGAGAATACTTCAAGCCACATCACTCTCCTCGAAAACCCGTCAATCGCACCGTGGATGCAAAAACCATAGTGTCTTAGTTTATCGTATTGATCCACGTGCCACACCCAGTTAGGACCCTAGACATATAGGCAATAAACTTTGCAATTGTGACATCATTGTTAGCGTTGACAATTAGAAAATATGTATGTTATTATTATGTATAAGGTAATTGGTTGAGTAAGGTACCTTGGAATAATAGCGTCTTGGTGTTCCAACTCCTGCAATAAGCCGTTGCTCGTTACACATTCCGAGGAGTCGCATTACATCATACACTTGTTTTCTAGAACATGTATAAGTAAGTGAATTTATACATCTATTCCATCAATCAGATCTTTATTAGTGAAATGCATTTACCTTGTCACAAGAAGTCCATATTTAATACGAATACGCAGCGTCATTTTCCTATATCCACTTCTCCCACGGCAACCATTCACTTCTTTCTAAAATCAAATGCAGGTAATATGTTTATTAATTTAAATCACATGCTGTATATTGTACTAATATCGTTTTCCAATTGCATGTCCGTAATCTTGTAATCCGACTTTTCTTTTGTCGACATTGCTTTAAAAGACGTGGTAAAAGATGCAACAATTAATTTAAGCAGATGCTCTACCTGTAATGCGTAAGCAATTTGCTGCGGAGACACCGTGTTGTCATGTCGCTTCAGCCCATTTGTTTTCATTATTCTTTGTAGCGAGCGAACACTATATGCAGAATACAGAAATATATATCTCAAAATAAATTTTAACATATATATATATACACTACTTATTATATATCGAAGTATAATTTTAGCTTTGCATACAGGCGTCTATACTATCTTTTAAGATAGGTCCTATACTAGTACTGTGTCTGAATTCAATAATGAATTTTGTGCAATCGGTAAACGGTATTAGAATAGAGGGGACTGATTTGGCTAGTTATCACATGTGAAAGCTCTTAAATATGCTAAACTTCAATGCATTATATATATATTTACAGTTATTATAAAACATTATATAATATTATACCTGAATGACATGCCATGACGTTGGTAAAGATATTTCAAAATGACAGCATTCGGTTTCAACTTAACTAATAGTCTCTTAATTGTATCTAGAATATCTAAAATGTATAGAAATCCTTTATTTTTAGATAATGTTGAAGATATAAGGACTAAAACGCGAATAAAACGGAAATAAACGTGCTTTATACTTACATCCATCTACTTCTAACGCCATTTTGTTCTCCTCGTGCGACTTGTTTACAAAGTCCAAACTTTTATTTTCAAACTTTTATTTTCAAACTTTTATTTTTAAACTTTTATTTTCAAACTTTTATTTCCAAACTTTTATTTTCAAACTTTTAATATTAAACTTTTAATATTAAACTTTTATTTTTAAACTTTTATTTTAAACTTTTATTTTTAAACTTTTATTTTCAAACTTTTATTTTCAAACTTTTATTTTTAAACTTTTATTTTCAAACTTTTATTTCCAAACTTTTATTTTCAAACTTTTAATATTAAACTTTTAATATTAAACTTTTATTTTTAAACTTTTATTTTAAACTTTTATTTTTAAACTTTTATTTTCAAACTTTTATTTTCAAACTTTTATTTTCAAACTTTTATTTTCAAACTTTTATTTTTAAACTTTTATTTTCAAACTTTTATTTTTAAACTTTTATTTTCAAACTTTTATTTTTAAACTTTTATTTTTAAACTTTTATTTTTAAACTTTTATTTTCAAACTTTTATTTCCAAACTTTTATTTTTAAACTTTTATTTTTAAACTTTTATTTTTAAACTTTTATTTTTAAACTTTTATTTTCAAACTTTTATTTTCAAACTTTTATTTCCAAACTTTTATTTTCAAACTTTCATTTTCAAACTTTTATTTTCAAACTTTTATTTTCAAACTTTTATTTTCAAACTTTTATTTTCAAACTTTTATTTTTAAACTTATAATTTTAAACTTCTATTTTTAAACTTTTATTTTTAAACTTTTATTGTCAAACTTTTATTTCCAAACTTTTATTTTCAAACTTGAAGTCTAGGCGGACACCAGTTGCGCGCGTATCCTTGTTAGGATGAAACGCGGATCTAGAATTGCGGAAAAGTAATTTGGCATAAAATCAGTATTTAATTGATTAAATCTCCCACCCCCGCGCGACATCCTCCCATTTAGTGCCATTACATTTATAACAAAAACTATTGTCTTAACTTGGATCTTCTAAAATTTAAAACCCATGCTGTTACAGACAATTTCATAAATATACTTCTTTCAGCCTACAAGAATAACTCATCATTCAGCAGGTATAGAAAGAAAGAGAGTAACTAGGTGTAGGGGGTGCCCCCAAAATAATTTACGAAAGAAATTTGATAGCGGAATGTAGCCTCGTTTGCAGGAAACCTTGTTCTACCTCCTTTGGCCCTTTGTCGGCTTTGTATCATATCATTGCCCTGGTTCCAAAATTTGCTATCCATATCGTTCCCCTGCATCCTTAATTTCGATTCCCAATTTTTATATCTATAGAATGTAGTGACAGTAACAAATGACTTTATTAGCATGAATTTACATAAGAGTATTAGCATGACTTTACATAAATTTTGATAGTTTTATCACGGTGTCATTATCAGTTGATTTCATTACCTCTGGTTAACCCTAACCTGAACCCATCACCACTGATCCCTTAAACACCGGTCAAGGAGCGAATCTCTCCCAGAGGCTGGCATCGATCCTCCATGTCCTCACCTTGTCGGTGGTTTGCACATAGAGATCCCAATCAGAATGACGCTTCTGACCACCGCCTCAACCACCTGCTAGAACGCCAAATGTTCAACCCTCATAGCTTCATCATAAACGTGAGCTACTCGAAGGTTAACGTCAATGTATACCTATTACGCGCACAGCAAATTTTCAGAACTGCACGGGCAATACTAACAATAAACGGTGTCATGAACCACCACGTGCAAAGAGAGCTTACCATAGCCAAAAAAACGAGTGTATGGTGATATGAAGTTATTACCCCCATTTGAATAGATGACGGCCATGTTGGTAGTTCCCACTTGCTAATAAACGCTTAAAAAACAACAATAACTTTCATTATTTAAATAGTTTAAAAATGTATTTGGAGTAGGTTTAACTTAATGTTTAAGTTCTCTGTTTAAGAAATAGAAAACATACGAGTCTTCTCATTTCATGGGAATATCCTGAGTCTGCACTCACGGTTTTGAATTGCTGAATAATTTGATGCACTATCTAGTGTATATAATATATCTATGGATTTAACTGATCATTTACCAAACTTTCTAATTATTAAAAACTTTCCATCTTTACCTACGAATGTTAAAATATTAAATATTTAAGATAGATTATTCTAATTTTAGTGAAACTGCTTTAGTTAATGATATACAAGCAATTGATTGCAGGTAACAAATATTTTCTGGTAATACCAATCCCGATGAAATGTTTGACAGTTTCTATATAGATTGTTGATGCTCATATACCCATTACTGAAATAAATGTCAAAAAGCCAGCTAAAATGTAAATATATACCTTGGATAACACCTGCTATTAAAAATTCTATTTTGAAAAAGAATGACCTCTATAAAAAAATTTAAAAACTAAATCCCAGTATTGTCATTTGAAATAAAAAAACTTACATTATTTCTCAACCTTTATAAATACTGTTTAATTTTTCAATCAATTTAGGCATTGTTCTTGAAAGCTTTTAACTAGCATGAGTGGTGCCAGTATTTAAAAGTGGGGCGCGGTCTAATATTGGGAATTATCGACCAATCTCGCTTCTCTCTGTGTTCAGTAAACTCTTACAAAAACTAGGGTATTGATTGACTGCATTAGGAAGAAATCTATACTCTTCCCAAAGCAGTGTGGTTTTTGTGAACAACATTCCACATATCATGCTGTTTTGAGTGTTGTTGATAAAATACATAATTCAATTGACAATAAAGAGTATTCTTGTGGAATATTACTAGATTTTAGTAAAGCTTTCGATGCAGTTAACAATGAAATCCTTATTCAAAAACTGGAACATTATAGCCGGAGTCAGTGGGTTGTTAAGGATCGGTTTACTTCTTATCTTAGTGGAAGAATCCAAGTAAATGTGTGCGGTGACAGTAGTGTATATACCAAGCAATCAATTTCGTGCGGTGTGCCTCAAGGATCCATGCTGGGTCATCTATTATTTATATTAGATATTAATGATTTTACTAACAGCTCTAATGTACTTGATTTTTATCTTTTTGCAGACGCTGCCAATTTCAGATTTTACTCTGATAAATAAAAATTATCTGATCTTGAATTGGTTTTAAACGTTGAACTGCAGAAAGTCCACATATGGCTGTGTTCCAATCTCTAAACGTAAATAAACCAAATTTTGGTATTTTCCATTCATCTCAAAAGAAACGGACGCCTACAGTAATATTAACTACAAATAGTGAAACAATAAAAGAAGAAAAGCTAAAAGAACTTCTTAAATACAGTCAGACTTGTTTCTGCTGTCTGATCTTATTGATACATTATGATTATTACAGGTAGCAGGTACTCTTCTTAATTAAATATTCTTTCTAATATAATTCAAAATGTAAATATTTTATTTTGATACAAGTAAATCGTTTGATAAAACGCACGTAATTAGCCTTTCTCACGATGACGAATATCCGCCATTTTTTTGAGTGGCATCTAATAGTTCTCGTTAACCAATGCAGACAATTAAAACAATATGAAAAGCAATTCTTCAAAATAAACTAACCATCCACAAAGCAAATTTACCATCATTCGTCCAAAAAATTATAACAAGTCGCTGTTATGTGGACTTATCTCGCAGACTAAAAATGGCGGCGTGAGAAAGGCTAATTGCAAATAAAACGCGTTGTATTGGCTATAAAAGGTCATAAAAACGTGGAATTTATTGAAAAAATAGGTTGGTTACTTTGCCTTTTGTGATTGGATTATAATCCAAACATAAGTCATCAATTATCATTATCAAGGGTTTATTATAAAATCGTCGCGCTGGAAAGCGAATTGCGAAGTTATTTACAAAATTTACTTAAAAATATTAAAACGTACCTTGTATTACAGGCATTATATTACAACAATTGTTTTACGCATCTATTACAACAATTGTTTTACCGAATTAATATCGGAACATAAATGTACTTTTATATTTACAAAATTTACAGGGAAAAAGGAAAAAAAGGAAACAAGTGTTATTCTATTTCCGTACCTTAAATTGCAATTGTGTTCATTGGCCCGAGAAGGTGGTATTAAATGATTAAGGCGTGAATCAGGCTGTCTCATTTTGTCAAAAGTTTTTATGCTCAAATCATCACGTCTTGCGCGTAATGTCGAACATTTAGCTTGGTCCAGAGCGGCGTCATAGCTTAATGTAGGATAGATTATTCGCATTGTGCGCTTCCGGACTGGTTCAATTTTATCTAACAAGTTGATGCTCTCTCCTCCCCAGAGGCTTACATGAAGTTTCTAGTGAGGGAAAAGTGAGCGCGCAAGGAGTAATGGGAAAAGCTAAATAAAGGAAGCCTCTGCGAGTTAATGCAATCAATATGGCGTCGTATATAATCGGCTGTAGCAAAGTTCGATCAACCATCGGGGGTGTTACAGTAAAACATGTTTTCGACTTTCATTTTCGGGCGTACTTGAGTATCTTGGGGTGAATTCAATATCAATATCTTCTTCTGTCCATTTGCATCGAAAAATATTGAGAAATTGCAAACGAATATCAATAACACGAGCTATCTGATTATAAATATCCTCTTATAAAAATGACTCAATTGAACTTCGATCCTCAGATTAGGAAGATTCATTTCAATTTCTTTCACATTTCCGTCGATTAATATATTTCAAGTTTAAAAAAGGTCAAACAACTAGTTTGGTTCAAAAACCATACTTTGTCGCATTATCTGGCAGAGCCTCCCCAACTTCATTTCAATCTTCCCACTCACACCGCGCGCACTCACTTTTATTCAGGAAACTTCATGTAAGTTATTTGTAAATACTTAAGGAGGCTCTGCGGAGGAGAGAGCAAGTTGGTGGTCAATGATGAATGCCATACCGGACAGCAGTACTCGAGCAGGGATCTATAATAAGTGCAAAATATACTCGTAGCAAATGAAATGGTTAAACTCCACATCATACGGAAGATTCACCCACTTGTAACACCGTCACCTGATAATCGTACTTGGCGTGAAACTCAGAGT